CCCCAAAACCCCAAAACCCCAAAACCCCAAAATATAGCCCCATATTGAAATTTGTTATTATAAATCAAGCAATGATGGTGCTTAAATCCCCAAAACCTGTTAAGAATAGGGGCAATTTAAACTTATCCAAGAACAAAAGGATAGGAAATAGCAGAAATTTTGGATGAAAAGGAAGAGTTTTCTCAAACCCCAAGGTAATCTGATCCAATGAGAAAGGTTTACTAATCCTCGTTTAGATTCCAATCAAACCGATCATAAAGACACCTGAGAAGAAAGTGAAAATCTTAGATCTCAACTTTACTAGGGATAAAAAGTTTAGAAGTAATTCTAGAACAAGAGATTCTACTTTTAAGAAAAGAAAAACAATCCTGCCCCTCAAAAATTTGAAAATGAGGGCTCTTGATAGAGATATTTTATTTCCACAGGACCAGGTAAACAGTCCGATTCGGCGCTATGTTTTACCTTTGGAAGGAAATTTAAAGAGATCAGGTTGATTAAAGTCTTCAGAGAAAATGTCTCCCATAAGTCTTTCAAAAGAGGAGGAATCAAACATGTCTCTGATTTCTCCAGTAAAATGAGACAATGTCAGCCCATACCAAGCAAAAATACCTGCAGAGCTTTGCAATAAAGGTATTAAGCCGGGATGAACTAGGAACAGTCAGACTAATTATGTAACCTCCTTAAAATCTCAAGAGGCTACCAAACCAAAAGGCCTGGCTCAAAAGGAGGCACAGAAGAGAAAAATGATTGAGCATAACTTGTTCGGGACTCAATTTCATTTTTAAATTCCCAGAACCTGACCAAAGAAAGTCAAATATGTCTCTTAAAAGCGACAACCAGTAAGTAATCCATAGCTAGTTTTATTCTGGAGCTTATTATTTTCAACCCTATTTTGGGTATCTTCTCAAGTATTCAACTTGTCCATGAGAGACTCCAAATTAGAATTGTTCATATCTGGAATGTAGTACTGGGAATAAAAAGACTCTCAGGTCTTTAGATCCTAAAAATTGCACTATTAATAGCTGAAGATAGGTTAATCTAGAGATTTATACATATAGAGGGATCTGACAAATTTTATAGGCCATTTTCTGAGAAGAAAGAGAGATTTGTTCGTAATCAATTTTTATCAAAAGGAGCTCCAAAACATCCAAATCTACCATTTTGGTATAAATTTAAGAGGGAGAAGTCCCTCAGCTTCTCAAAGGACAAGGCATCATCAAAGTTAGATTTTTATAACAGTGGCACAGAGATGCAGAAGACTGGGCCAGCACATAAGAATAGAGTAGGCTCTCCAAAAATAGAAAGTTCGGGTATTGATATCAATTCTGGGATTGAGAGTACCACACCAGCTGAGGATTTTATAACTCCGCCGAATCATGTTACAATTAGTGTGTATGATCTACGCAATAATTTCCAAAAGGATTTTAGCATTGAGAAGGAATTTCTTGTTGAAAATATGCAGTATTTCCAAAAATTTGTCAAGAAAGGGAAAGGAGTTAATATGGAAAAAAGGCTAGAAATGTTAGACAAGCTGGATATCTCAATCCAATGCTCTCCATTTATCTTTATATGGATCTTGGAATATTTGCAAGGGAGTAAAACTGCTGTTAATTTTAATCCAAAAGAAGTTATTTTAATCTTAATATCAGCAGATTCCTTGATAATCCCTAAGCTCATAGAAGAAGCTGTTGACTATATCTGAAATAATCTACAAACAGTAGAGAATAGTGCTTGATGGAATGTTCATCTCCGTCGACATCTTATTCGAAAAATTGCCGTGAAAGTTCCTATCCAAGTTTTAGATTCTATAAAATATCGGAAAGGAACTGGGTTGATAAATAAAATTTACAAACATAAGCTTGAAACACTCCATCTTAGTTTGAACTATTCCTACACAGACTTGGCTGATAGAAATTATGATTTTTCAGCAAAGGAAAATGGGCTGAAGAAGTGAAAATATTGTGGCGAAATGTTTACAGATGTTGGTCTAGATCTGACACCATGTAGCAATAGTCATGAATACATCAATGCTCATGGAGAAATGATCCCTCCACATCAAGCTCTCCCTCAGTGGGATCTGAGTGACTTCATTTTATGAATAAGGAAAAGAGAAAGTGACTGGAAGGTGATTTACTACCTCATATGGTCACTTTGTGTCTTACTCAGATGTACTGAATGAAGGGAAGTCTTTCGACTTTTTGACTATGACCAATGACATTATCACCCTCAGAAATTTTATTCAGAAGGTGATGACCATCAAGGGATCTACCTATGTTGAGGAAGTCAAGGCCGAAAATTCAATATTGGAATTGATAGCGCAACTCATGGCTGATGAATGAAAGATCATAAATGGCCCAAAACACCTGAAATCGATTATATTATTGGTAGATTTGAGGAGAATAAAGATCTGATCTTTGGTGATAGCGAGATAAAAGAAAAACGTAAGTGCTCGCTTAATTGCTTTTTGCTTAATTTAATAGGAATAAGAATGAGAAAAGATCTTTGGAACAGCTACAATTTTATTAGTAGGGATCATAAGACTTCAAGCGAAGATTTCTCATCAGTGAATTCGAATGGTGAGAAATCTGATGAAGTAAAGCAAGATGAGTGAAACCAAGATATGAATGCTCAAGAAAATTCTCAAAAAGATGACTTGAAAAAGATTACTAACCCAAGCGGGAAAAATCACCACAGGCCAAAGAGAAGTAAAACTCATTTTCACATCTCCTCTAACTATTTTAGAGTCAGTTAGCAGACGGTATATTAAACTGGAGAATATCCGACAAAATGATGCTGCCAAGATGGATGATCTACTAGCTCAAGTGAAGATTTTCCGCTCCAGGAAGACATAAGCCTTAACGCTTTTTATTTTCAATCTTTTACTATATTAACGGGGTTTTGGGGTTTTGGGGTTTTGGGGTTTTGGGG